GGTTTTATTTTCTCCTTCTCAGATACCAGCTGAGGAAAATATTGAAGCATCTGTTTAAATTCTTTCCTGAACCAGGATCTACTTCTCCATTTCATTAGCTTTGAAAATGCTTTGCTAAAGAGTACTTCTGATCACTTCAAACCGAGTCCTGAACTTAGTAGTTGGACAAAAATCCAGTTGGTTTCAAGAACTGCAGAAATAAATTCATAATTCAATATTTTGAATTTAAACTGCTCCAAAACGAAGTCTGGATTATATTAAAGCAATTTAAAACATAAGACCTACTAATTAGATGCATTAGATACTGTACCATGTACATTACTTCTGCAGAGGGTAAAGTTTCCCTATTAAACTAGACCCAAAACCAAGTGAGGTGCAAATATCTAGTATTTATCTCCTGTTTTTTTTCCTGCTGATTAGAAACATATTACTGTAAAAAATATAGAAAATCTATCAAAAATGCCCCATTTCCCTATTAATATTAAGGAGTTTCATCAGGACTGTCAACTTCTAAGCAGTCAGGGGTCACAAGCCTCACAGGCCACATTCCCCAGGACTGCAGCAGCATAGGCCGCAGGCCATGCACTCAGCCCTCGGACCTCTGATGCACCGTGATCTCCTCCCCCATGCTACCATGCCATGCAGACATTCAGAGTCATAGGCTACCCCAGAATGACAGGCTGAACTTCCCCCTGGGACACAGGGAGGAAGCAGAAACTGGAGGATGGAGAGGTAACCTAGACACCCCTGCTGGTACTGCTGGGAGGCAGCAGTGGCCAGGTGGGATCCTCTTAGGCTGCGTACAGCCCGTGCCATACCAGTTGGACAGCCCTGAGTTAAATAAATCCTGTGTATTTCTCTTTCTCGTGCACAAAGAGGCAGATTCCATTCTATCTACTGGGCACGTAAGCAGACTCAGCCATGCAAGTATGAATCTGTTTTACATTACTTGAGTCCTGGAAAACCTGTTGATACAAAAGGCGGGTTTGTCTTCTTCCTTGCTGCACTTCTGGTAATTCGGTTTACTGATCAGAAGGTAGCAGGTTACAAAAGCAGATACAATATGGATTTTCAGGTGCCACAGATGGACTAGAATTTGGCCCTAAATTAAATAAAGATTCCAAAAGCAATGTAAACTTCACCATCCTGCATATTTGGTAAGATTTTGTGTTGTATGTGTCATGTAATAAACACAAGGACTATCCTAATCTATACATCTATTTTAAAAAAAATAGGAATGGAAGATACTATTTACTCAGTGCAAAGTGGGAGTATAGGTATTACACTAATATTTTCTAATTTCTATGATTCCATTTGCATTCAGAATATCGCATTCATGTTGGACCTTGTTTAAAACAGAACTTTTTAACTTCATTTCATTGCAAGGAAAATGATTTTTTCTTTTAAATTCTCCATATTAAACTTTGTTGTTCAAACTTCTTTGGAGAGATTGAGGTCCAAAAAGGATGCTTTAACCTATTGGACAAAATCTACTTAATTGATTTTAGTGAAAATGTAATTGGTTTTCATCCATTTCTGGCTGGAGAAGCCAGTGTTAGCATTTGTTTTATAATTATCCATCAATCTGTCCATCCAAACACCCTAGGCCAAACAGCAGAGGCTGTTTTAAACAAGAGACTCCAGAGAATTTTATAAGGACTTGACAATTATTGGTTTTACCTGGAAGATGTTCAAACAATGCCATGGTGAATTAGAGTATTAAAACCTGAGATAGTAAATTCACCTCCTGCTTTCCTATCTCTGTGATAATGGGATATTCACAATAGAAAAACAAATAGAAATTTAAGCCATTTTTCTAAAACTCTAATGCCTCCAGTATGTACCTAATGTAATTCTAATGCCTCTATATTTTGTACTCTGTCGCTGCAGTTGCTATATATTTCTGAAAAAATCTCTCCATTTCTTTAGGTGTTGAAATATAAATTTAAGAGTATGATCAAAAGCCTATAGCAGTTAATTGAATTAGTGAGAAACTAGAAAATCTCTTAATTCCAAGGTGGTGAAATATGTTCTGGGTCAAGTTCAGAGTTGTTTTTTGTTGACCACTGTTTCTCATTGTCACTCCTGGTGTTATCTCCCTTGAATTTACTTTATCTCAAGTTTTAATACTCTTTAGTACTCTTGTGATCCATCTATATTTACCTGTAATCTCTTTTCTTTGAGTATCTTTTATATCTGTTTGTGTGGTGCCTGGCACATTTGAGCTTCTATATGCTACTACAATGCCAATAATTGCTAAGTACAGTGAACAGTTATTTGCATAGGTCTTCCAAAAGATGCATTTCCCATGTTTTCACCATCTTACTACCAAATTTTCACAGACGATGAAAGCATCAAATTTTGAATTGTTCATTGGCCTGGTTTTACAGTTACGAAGCAGCCTGAGCTACCTATCTAAAAGAGTTTTGTGAACAGGGGATTTATGGGTCGTGTAATTCATTTATCAAAGGTGCAAAGAACGTTTTGAATATTATTAAGATTTGGGTAAACTCTGTTCTTTTACTACCTCTGGGCTTGCTCTCTCTTCCTCTAAAGCTTTCCATTGGTTTTGTTTAACTTCCATCGATGCTGTAATTTAGGTTTACTTTTAATTTCACGTGCCAATATGTTAACATCGAGTCACCACTGAATCTTTACAAAGCAATATCCATCCTTCTAAAGGTGAAGCCTAAGGGAAAACTATACCCAATTCTAAATCAACAGAGGTATGAACCAGCCCCAGCTGCCAAAGTACTCTATACATTTTTTGGAATCATTATTTAGGTTTGTGGTATGATTAAGTTCATATATGTTGCTTAACAGAAACAAAATACAGGCTTGCAAAGGGGACCTAAAGCAAAATTTGTGCTTTCATTATAATCCTTTATAAATGCCAGCAAATGTTATTTGAATTGATCAGTCATGTTTATTTTGATTAGGGGTAGGAAACAGTGTCACTGAAATCTCCACACAGATTAGTCTGGAACTGGAAACAATTTATTTCCTTCCCTTTGTGCAGTTTGTCTGCTATTTTATAATATAAGTCTGCCATCTAGTGATCATAAAAGGAAGGGAAATAGCCAAATCCTGCCTCAAATTCCTAACTGGTGGATTGTTAAGAAGCAGCTGAGCTCTTTTGCCAAGGATTTTGAAGAATTAAAAGCTAATTCTTGGAGTACTTTGACTTTTCTTCCTTTGGCTCTTTTTGAATAGAAAATGTATCTACCAGCCTAAGTTTCAGTATACTTTTTAGACAGCAAAATAAAAAACTAAAAATTCAAAGGGCAACATTTCCAAAGAGCACATCTCCTACTTAGGCCTAAATTGAGGCTAGGTTTTTTAAAGTGTACTGCATTTAACTGTTCCACTTATGGCTAGATATTTCAAAAGTGATCATTACTCAGGGTGCTGAGAAGTTTTAATGGTGCGGCAGCTTCATTTTTGTACTAAATGCATGATGGAAAAGCAAGCCCAAATTTTGTTCAGGGCAGGGGGGAGCCTAAGTTCCCATCTCACTTCCAGTAAATGTTTAAGTCACTTAAACTTTCAAAATCATAACTCTCCCCATGCCACTGAATGCCCTAACCACTCGACTAGAGAGTCGTACTCACTTCCTTTCCCTCTTTCTGGCTCCAAGTTGAATAGTCTCAACAGGAAGGATCAAGAAGTCTAATTGGGTAGAGCATTATGAGGTGGGAGACAGACAGGTTCACATGTCCTCAGCTGGGGGATGAAGTTGAACCCCGTATCTTGGGTGTGTGGTCGAACTACCAAGCTATTAAGTAAACATAAATAACATATCTTCCAGCCACATTTTGTACAAAGACCACACTGGTAACTTTGCTCAGAGAATAAAAACCAGATAAAACCACTATTTTATGTCTCCAAGAGGCCTTAGGAACAAGTAAAGTTCCTACATGCTCAGCGGTGTCAAGACGTGGGAAGTTTGGGGCATGTTTAGAATAAAATCCTTAGCCTGATAGACATCCATTTGAACACAGAATGGATGTCTGCACAGCAGGAGGTGCGATGTGCGATCAGGGGTCAGATCCCAGTTGCATTGTACTGCCAGTACAGAAGGAGCCTTGGATCGAGATCCAGACTGTTCCAGGGCTCAAACCCCACGGTGGTCCCAATCACCTGATCATTGGCTGGCACGGACCACACCAGGGTATGAATCCTGGTGTGGTCCCTGCCAGCAATCAACAGATCAGGACAGCCCTGGAACTGAAACCCTGGGGCCATCCCAGTCCTATCCAGGATCAGCTGATCAGGACTGCTCCAGAACTCAAATCCAGGGGTGGTCCTGATTAGCTGATCATCGGCTGGCAGGGACCACCCAAGGGCTCGAATCCTGAGATGTCCCTGCCACATGTTCAGTTTAAGGAGCAATGGAAACAAGCCACAAGGTTATTGCACATATTTTGTTTAATAACGTTGTAGCCAGTTTCCTTTTTTATTACACTATTAATCCCCCGAGCATGTGTCTGCTTTACACTTTAAGATGCAATTAACTGCTTAATCGTGTCTTAAATGTAATGACTTCTTGGGACTTCAAGCTCCTATGGAATTATAATTGCAACTTGGATTTTAAAAAGTGCCTTCAGGGTTCGACTACATCTGAATAGGGATTTTGAGAATCTGAAGGTTAGGTGAGGTGTCTGAAAAGGTAATTAGACTGTACTTAATTGTGTAAGCTCAACTGTACCTCTAATCCTAAGTGTTGAAGATGGCTTTGAAAATGAAATTTAAAACCATAAAACACTTAAATACCTAGAACAATCTTGCCCATAAAGTCATTCAGACATTGCAAAAATGAGTGTGAACACTCTAAGTACCTTTACAATTCTGGACCTAAGCAGCCGGCTCAATTTCTTTACTAAAATTGAATCAAATAGCAACAAAACATGACTATTATGTTTTTTTATTCATCACCAAGCACAGAGAACCTAGTAAGTACAGTTTACCTTATCTTGCTTTCTCATGTGTCTGGTCTTCAGGGGGTGAGCTGTTTGCTGGCCTCTACAATGACTATTGGGGAAGAGATGCTGCTATCTTTCGTACTATGGGTCGTATGCCTCATATTCGAACTGAACCTGATAATGAACATCTCTTGAAAGGTATGAGACATGGAAAAAATACATGATTCCTACTTTTCGCAAAGTCCTAAAAATCTTTGGAAACCTGGAGCAACAGACATATTTCATAAAAATGAAAACTTACAGTATAATGAACTAAATTCATCCTGGATCCAGCAGGTGGTGAATTTGATTAAACTATTTTTTTTTTAATCAATGACAGCAAAATAATTCAAAACATTGTTTTGGAAAATCAAAGGGGTTCACTTTCAATGTCTAATGTTTATTTCAAATGGTTTATTTTCTGAATTAACTATATGCCCTGTAAAATAGAATAATAAGTACTATATGACTGGTAGTAGACAACTGAAACAGAAGTTTTCAAAATGTAATTATATAATTAAATAAGTAATTAAATATCTTACAAACAAGAAATATAACTTGTTTAAACTTGATTTCCTTTAGTTATGATGTCAGGTTTTTTTTATTTTATTTCCCCTATTTTTAAATTATGATATTTAAATGGGAAATATTTTTAAAATGTAAGTTAAACTACATTAACAAAATAATCAAAAGAAAATCTCCAAGTAAATCCTTAATGGCAGCAAAATTGTTGCATTAGTACCAGAGCGGGGATTTATTAAATATTTAAATTAAAACAATAAGGGAATGTCATGTCCATGGCACCTTAAGAGGTCATCGTAATGGAAAAATGTTAATCTTTCTGGTCTTGTGCTAAAAGTTTACACAGTGGGCAAATACAGTTTTCAGCTCTACAAAGAAAGCTTAGTTTAGGAAAATTCCAGGTGATTTCCAGTTGCTAACAAAGGCGCACGCAGCTCCTCCTGTCTATAGGCATGGAGACAATCTGTCAACTGATCTCACTGGGCAAATGGCTTGTTTGCCTGAAGCCAAAGGTTGTGCTCCTGTGTCTAATTTATACGTGGCCACAAAATGTTACATAAGCTCCGAGCCAACTTTCAGCCTCATACAAATTAAAATGTATAAACTCCAGAGAAGAGGATTGGAAAGAGATCTTTTTTCCTTGAATGTATACAAAATAATATTGATTTGTAAATTGGAGCTATAAAAAATAGGTTTTAAATGAATGTTTCCCATATGTTCTGTAGAAACACAACCAGCTGAAATAGGCTTGGACTCTATTTTGATCACCATCACCACTGCCCCCCAGCCAGGGTAGACCTCTGATTGACAAATCTCTGCAGTCTTTGCTATATTATCATTTTTGCTATTGCTATTGGTGGTAAAAAGTGTTTTATTCTAATAGCTGTGCTGTTTTAATAAACATTATCCACCTCCTCTTTCTTTTCTTTTGAAGAACCAAAGTTTGTTGGTTCCTACATGATTCCTGACAATGAAGACCATGACGATAATAAAGTCTATTTCTTCTTTACTGAAAAAGCAGTGGAAGCAGAGACTGGCACTCATGCCATTTATACCAGAGTGGGCCGTATGTGTGAGGTAAGATAAGTTCTTTCTTGATTCTCCAGTGGAAGCACGAAGTGTGCTCGCTGCACTTCCAAGTGTCATCTGTTAGTATTGTTGGGTGTGGAAATAAAAGAATGTAGTATGGGTCTAAATGAAAACCACGCATCTAAAAATCCCTGAATTCTGGATAATGTAAGCTTCCACCCCATCCAAGCTTCAAACCCACATTTGAGCCTGAAACTTGAATGGGGTGGAGGCAAGTGAGCAGGTGATCCATAATCCAGAGATGGATCCAAATGTGCTCTTATTCTCTTGCAGTTAAATTTAGTAACAAAAATTATCCTCAGCACTTTTCACTTGCATAGCACTTCACAGGCTAGAGTTGCCACTTGGAGCACAGAGAAAGTGTTTTAAATTCCTCCCCAGTTCTAGTACTAGTGCCAATGGCAACCTTGGTGCCACTCAGAGCGATTGCCAGACAACTCTGAATTACACCACTGATATAACTGGATAGCCCTCCATCCATGGAGGATGGGATTCACTCAGCCTGCCCAGAGATGCCCAGTCCTCTCAGCCCTGACATCAGTTCCCACCCCAACAAATTCCTTATGTCCAGGAGTAGAGGAATAGCAGTCAAAAGGCTCTTACTCAGCCACTGGTGTTTCCTCTTCCAGCAGGAAATGCTTACTGACCTTGACCTGAAATAGCGGTGAAATGGCACCAACCTTACATAGAATTACAGAATCATAGAAAGATAGGGCTAGTAGGGAACTTAGCATTTCATCAAGTCCAACCCTTGCTGAAAGCAGGATTATCCCTTTTTACTCTCTCCTAGCCAAGTGTCTCTTTAATTCTGATAACCAGAAATTCCATAGTCTCTCTAGCGAATCTGTCCCACTGGTTAATTAATCTCAATGTTAGAAAATTCTTCCTGATGTATGTTTAAAGCAACTTATAAATATAGTAATAATTGATCCTTCCCAGACAGAAATGGCACACACATATATTTTTCATAATTTATAGGAACTGCATTCATAAATCTGATGGATGCATAGGAAGCAGTAAACGTAATGTACAACATGCAAAATAACTTTATTAGTTTTTATTAACTTTAATATGTTATTAGACACCACGGTGTTAGATACAAAAACACTGCTTATTAAAACTGTGTAAAAGTGATATATTAAATGCGTATATAAAACGCCAAAATAGAGACAATACCAAATTGAAATCTAGGATATGAAGTTGTTTTGTTCTGAATCCAAATGTGTACGTAGACCTTGGCTGAAGTTCCTTGGCCTGTGTTATGCAAGATGTTAGACTAAATTAGTATAATGGTCCACTCTCATCTTCAAATGTATGAATCTGAATTTTTGATCTGTACAGTGGGTCAAATCAAAATCCCCCAGACCTGCTCCATACATATAAATCTTATTCATCTGGATCTGAATCTGGAGATCTTTTCCTTGGTTTTGTAAATCAAAAAATAAGAAATAAAAAGACAAAAGAGAGAGCAATAATCAAAAGAACCATTGAAAACTCAGTTGTGTCAATTTTCAGTCTTCATAGGAGATTTTTTTTCTGTTTCCTTGTTTTGTATGGCAGCCAATCCTTGTAATTTCACTGTCTTGAGTTCAAATGTTCCTAAAATCTCAGTGTGACACTAAAGAAAGCAATACGTTTTGTTTGACCGGGGCAGGAGTATAAAATCGTTTGTACAACTCAACTAAAGAGCATTTGACACAAGATCATGGAGTAGAAATGAATGGTCTGTATCACTATGAAAAATGCTAGTGGGGTTGGTTATATTACTATGACTAATTAGGACTCTTTGGCACCCTGGCTGGCAATCCCAACAGGAGAAATAAAGCAGCCAGAAGCAGGAAGAGTGCACTAAATCCTACAGTCTAAAAGTAGCCTTCTCATTGATGTTCATGCAGTTTGCAAGGCACTGTGCAGAAGTTTGCAGTTAATTTGCTTCAGCTGTATCCGTGGGGTTGAGGGCTTCAGTCTCCAAGTTAGTTGATCCAGCCCTGCATTCAGTTCCTAAGATAAGGTTACTTGATACGCCAAATATTCATTCTAACATATTAGAAATACATTTAAGGGTATGCAACAGTTAAAACTAGTTGTAGACCCAGTATTTAACTAAACATCCTTACAAACCCACAGCTTTTAACGAGAAATGGGTTTGATTGCGTACTAAGGACTGACTCCAAAATAATAACACAAGTGGAGTGGTTGATTTGTGGTTTGAAATTACATGCCTTTGACATTAAAAGTTATGATGAGAGGGCAATTCAACATATTGTTAATCTAGAATTATTCATCCTAATTAGCATTAGCTTTTGTTTGTCTTTGCACAGAATGATATGGGAGGACAGCGAATGCTGGTGAATAAATGGAGCACTTTCCTCAAAACCAGACTGATCTGCTCTGTGCCAGGAAAGAATGGAATTGATACACATTTTGATGAATTAGGTATATCATAGAGCACAACCCCCCACTCCCCACAACCCTTTTATAGAATGTAAACCTTATGCTAATCCCTTTTACCCTCAAATATAATCACTAACAGGAAATGCTTGTTGCTGATTCCAAAGCCTATGAAACGTTATATACATATTGAGTACTATCATTAATTACACTTTTACGTATTGTAAGATTTCTATACAATGTTTCTAAATCTGTATAAAATTAAGTTATGTCTATAGAAAATATTAGCTTATACTCTTAATAAGCAGTGATTTTTTTTCTCTTTCGGGACTGAGAAAGTAAACTAACAATACCCAACCTTTATATTTATTTTACAGAGGATGTGTTTTTGCTACACACACGGGATAGCAAAAATCCAGTGATATTTGGACTCTTTAACACAACAAGGTAAGCAATTAGGAACGATGTCAGCAACAGCATCATATTTGTAATTGCATTTGGAACCAAGGGAAATAGCTTTGGGTATAGACGATGTAGCAAATATGTACACTCTGAGTGAACTATATAATGTCTATGCAGTCCAGGACCCTTCCTTTCTAACTTAAAAACAGCAAAGCTTTACTGAAAGCCCATATAGCTTTCTCAGTAGAAAGACTCTGGTTGACTTGTGTTGGCAATGGATCATCCTCACAGGCCCTGAATCAGAAACAAGGAAAACAATGATTCTGTACCAGGTCAATGTGTAATATTAGCTGTTATGCAAATACCCCCATACAAGTCACAGGATAAACCCACTGATTTTAAATAGGAAACCACAAGTTCAAAAATATTCTGACCTGGTGTGATCTCTTTCAGTTCTCTGCAGCAGAACTGCTCAATTATTTTTTCTTAGTCAAGAAAAAGAGTCAAAGCTAAAATTGGCATTTTCTAAGGGGTATCTTGAGTCTAATAAGGGTAGCCTTGAGTCTAAGAAGGTTGAGAACCACTGGTGTAGGAAAAAGCTTGGAGAGAGCACTAATGAAAATATGAAGTCCTGGGGTCTGTTTTCTTACAGACATCTTGTATGACCTTTGACAATTCATTTAGGGCCTGACATTGTTCTACATGTTAGATGCCTAAACACAATACTGTTCCACCCTGCTAGAGTCCCTGAAAATCAGTCAATACAAAGGTGGATGCATCCTCCTCCTGCTCCCTGGTTTTGTGACTTTCTATTAAGACAAAGATGATAGTGTATAACAGCAACAGATTTGGTAATGGTTTTCAGATATTGAGCAGGGTGGAATAGGATCATGCTTCCATACTTAAATCCATTTAGGCAGCAAACATGTGGAAGAGGATGTTACACAGTAATTTTGGGTAGCTCCTGGAACTCCTAACCCCTGGATTGTCCACATGTTAACACCTTAAAGTAACTTAAAACACTTGTTACACAGCTCAAAGTTACATCACTCCAGGGCAGGATTGTCTCTGGATCTGCACTACCCAGCTCCTTTTCCACTGAAGTGTGGCCACTCTCCCCAGATGTGCCGCTCAAGTTGAAGGTGTGCCTGCTCCCAACTCCAAGCTAGCACTAAGCTGATCAATGTCTGAGCAGTTCACAGCTTAAGGTGTAACAAGACCCTCTGAGTCTGCCTGTACTGTCTCCATTCTGTGCTCCGGTAAATTTTGGCCTATCCATTTACTCTGACTCTACGTATGCCAACTCCCCCAAATGGGGCAATTTAGCCACCTCAGAGCAGTTAGGAGAGCATACCAGTGCTGGGCCTGGGGCTTTTCAAACTACAGCACTTTTAGGTCCCAGCTGAGCCATTCTTGAGAGTGCCTTACCTACCCATGTGCACAGGCAGACTCCAAACCAAGACATACTCTGGTGAGGTCACTCCAAGGACTGACCTAACAGACTCCAAAGACCAAGGTCAGAAGAGCAGCTGCAGAGAGTGCCTGGAGTGTGTTCACAAGCTGGCTTCCAGCTGAAATGGGTACCTGTGGGGGTGGCTTGATGGGTCTTGTTGGGGAATGGCTGAGTTGGGACACACTGCCAGCAAGCATAGATTTGCCAGGTTTTGGTAACTATGCTGAATTCCATTAGCATAACTAGGGACCTGGGCAGAGCTAGTAGGTGAGCCCCAGCCACTGATTAAAGTATGGGATGGGGGGAGCAAGTGGTGCTGGAACTGATGCTTGCGGGGAGCTGAAGGAGATAAGCTAACTGCTAGTACAGAGGCTACAGGTTTGGACTATGTGCCAAAAGGCAGTCGGCAATGTAAGAGTGGCTCTCAGGACCTAGCAGCTAACTGTTTGCGGTGAAGAAGAAAGGGTGAAGACAGGGGAGCAACTCCCCCCTGCCACTGAATTAGGGATCTTATTTCTTTGTCCAGCATGGCATTTGGTAGCTCTTGTGAGCAGGCCAGAAGTTTAACTTTGCTCCCCCATAGCTTCTGGGACTAGAGCTATCCTGATTCCATGCTTTGTCTGCTCCTACTTCACTTCTGATTTTTATTTCACAGCAATATATTCAGAGGATATGCTATATGTGTCTACCATATAGCTAGTATCCGAGCAGCTTTCAATGGCCCATATGCTCATAAAGAGGGACCTGAATACCACTGGGCTCTTTACGAAGGAAAAGTACCCTATCCCAGGCCCGGTTCGGTAAGTAAAATGAAACACCTTTTTTTCTACAGTTACATCAATCTAAGTCAGGTTGCAAAGAAACAAAATAGGCTGATAGGAGTGTGCATACCTTCATAATGAGGATGACAGAGGTAATAACTAGCAACCCGCAGCTTTTGGAAATTTCTAAAATGACTCAGCAGTAAATTTTCCAATGACATATTTTCCTCAGTGGTAATCAATGAGCGTTAGATGGATTTTTGAAAACCCAGCTAGGCACCTAGCAGCAACTTTACCTTGATACTTTTAAAAATCTGGCACAGTGTCAATACAGGAAAGGAAATGACAGTAGCCTATCCATAAATTGATGCAGAAAATTGTGTAATTTGGTATTTAACCCATTTGCTATAGAATCTATTGTACTCAAGGGTCTTTTGTCCTTGCTGTGTTTCCTAGCAAGCCAATATATAATTTATCTGCCATAGAAGAAGAGAGATGAGATAAGCTCAAAAAAACTTGAAAAGAGTTAGGATTTCTGCAACCTGACTGCTGAGAGCCCTGCATGAAAATCCCAGGGTTGCTGACCCAAGATGTAAACTTGGTGTATAGCTAGACTTTTAAAAGGGATCTTCTATGCTCCCACTGCAATGAGAATGATGTTTCTTCACAGCTTCTGTCTCTCTATTTCTCTCTGTCTCTAAATAGCTCTCATTTCCATAGGATCTGACCACATCCAAGTCTGAGGGCCTCAGGTCTCATAACTTTTGTATTCTCTTTATGTTAATGTATGTTGAGGGTGCACAAAACATTGCAGAAAGTTCTCAGTATTTTGCAGGTCCAGGGTTACCAAAGACCTGCTTCTTCTTTCACTCCCTCTGGTGTAAATTAGGTGCATCTGTATTGAAGTCAATGTGACTACAGTATGTAACAACTGGACACTTCATGTTAGCCTCAACAATGGTCTTTCCTCTAAAATGTCAACCTGAAGCAGATTTGTGGCTATGTGAGGCCCAGTGACATCTGGAAGATCTATATAGCTATGCCTCACTTTGAAATTTCACCTTTGTTTTTTAATGGCCTAAAGGTTTTCTCTCCTGAGCTTACCAGTAAAGAAGTAAACAGTTTTCTGCAGCATTATTCATAGCCTTGCTTTTCCTTTGCTTTCCAAATCAATATTCTTTTTACTAAAAGCAGTCATATACATAAATAAACTCTGTATGCATTTCATTCATCACAGAATCACAAAAATGAGAGGTGAAAAGGCCTGTTAGCTTACCTAGTTTATACCAATATAGCGTTGTTGCCTACAGTATAATTTCAAATTCATGACCTGTCTAATTTTCAGTGACTGCTGGCTTCCTTTGTGTGTCTTGTAGCAAGAGACACAAGACAAAATACAATACAAGATGCTCCCCTAAAGTGATTATGTTGGCTATGAACACTTTAAATGAGATGTATACCACCTTGACCAGTAAACCATCACTGCAGCAACTGTTATAGCAAAGTCACAGGGCTCGTTTCTTGTTTGTTAGGTCTAGGGAGAAGCCAGAGATTAAATTTGGAGAAGGAAAGCATGGATTTATAAAAAAGAAATCATGTCAGATAAACTCGATCTCCTTCTTTGACAAAGTAACTACTTGGGTGGATGAAGGGAATGCTGTGGACATAGCAAAACTGAACTTCAGCAAGCCTTTTGATAAGGTCCAGCAAAAACCTTCTCATACATTGGAGAAATATGGGCTCGATAAAACTACTACCAGGTGAACAGAAAACTGGCTGAATAGCCTCAAGCAAAGTGTACTTAGTAAGCAGTCCACATCAAAATGGCAGGAAGTATAGGGGTCTGACCTGGGCCTGGTGCTGTTCAACTTATTTATTGATTTGGATGCTGACATTTGAAGACATCATAAAACTGAGAAGGATTGCAAACATATTGGAGGATGTGAGTGCAATTCAGAAGGATCTTGACAGGTTGCAAAATTGGGCTAATAGGGTTCAGTGCAGACAAATGCAAGGTGCTGCACCTTAGGAGGAATAATCAAAAACACAAATATAAAATGACATCTGGCTGGATGGCAGCACTGTGGGAAAGGACTTAGGAGTCTTGGTGGACCACAGACTCAATATGAGTTTGCAGATTGATGCAGTGACTCAAAAAGCAAATACAGGTTTGGGATGCATCAACAGAAGCATTAGGTTCAAAACATGGGAGGTGATAGTGTCTCTGTACTCACCACTGGCTTGTCTTCATCTGGAGTTGTGCATGCAGTTCTGGGCTCCAAATTTTAAAAAGGACATGGAAAAGTTAGAGAGGGTCTGGAGACAGGCAGTAAAGATGATCGAGGACCATATGAGAAGAGGCTGCAAGAGTTAGGCATGTTCAGCATGCAGAAAGAGCACTGAAGGAGGACATAATAGCAGGCTTGAATACTTGAAATCACCTTTCCTGCCTTGCTGCCAAGAGGAGGGTTCAGACCAATGGCTTGCAGTTGCAGCAAAGTAAGTTTAGATTGGATATCCAGAAAAATTTCTTCACTGTTAGAACAGTGAGGCAGTGGGATAGACTGCCTAGGGAAGGTGTGGACTCCCCATCACTGAAGGTGTTCAAGAAGAGGTTGGGCAGCCACTGATTGGGGATGATCCAGGTATAGCTATGCCTATGTTCTACCTTGGGTATATGCCATGCTTCTGGACTTAGATGGTTGCTCCAGCCCCCCTACCCCTCCAGCACCATTTTATTCTGCATCATATCAGAGTGTTTTTAAGCCTCCCTTCAGAAGCATTGGGTGTTGGTTACAGCTGAGGTTGAGGATTTCTTTGACTGTGGGGTGCCAATGCTCCTAGCTAGAGGGTCTTGCCTTTCCAGTCAGGGCCACACCAATTGCCATAGTCAGATTGGTACATATGTGGTAGTTTTTGTCTTCCTCTGCAGGGGAAGGATGGTGCACATAGCAATCCTCTACTCAGGATTTCTTAAGCACATATTGACAATATTTCATAGAAGCAAGACATTGGCTGCCATGGTTCCCTGTGGCATGCTTTACCTGTGGCAGGTTAGGGTGCTAGACGTGCTGTGTTAGGGTTGATGGTAATCTTATCTGGAGTATAGATTATGGATTGTATAGGATGGTTTGGATTGAGGTGCTCCTGCCTCAAGTAGGAGGTTGGACTAGCTGACCTCTGAGGTCCCTTCCAGCCCTGCTTCTCTATGATTCTATTAAATTAATTCATTGGTAATAAGACAGGTAGAAGAACTGGTATGTAGCATGCCATTTTTTCAGTCAGACAATGGAAAGAAGAGGAAATAATCAATTTTCTTTGTGTTTCTTTACTATGAGAAATTATGCTTGTTAGGCCTGTGCAAATAGGCAGCTATTCAATCCGGCTTTGGATCCAGCAGCTTCAGATGCCAGGGATCCGATCCAGAGCTCTGAACTGGTTTTCCACTTTGAACCGGCTGAAGCTGCTCCGAAGCTTTGGAGCCGCCTCAGAGATCCAGCCATAGGGTATAATGGGGAACCAATGAAATATTTATAACTTTGTTGTTTCTTGTCTGATTTGGATGAACTTTTCGGAAGTTGTAGCCTCTGCTGAGATCATGAAGTCTGCCAAGTTTCAAGAAGGTCTGTGCAGGGTTTTGGGGGGAACTGCACCTCAAATTCTTGAAAGCAAAACTCATGTCACGTCTATTTGTTATAACACAGGGGGGTGAAAACTAGGGGTAGAAGACCCGGGGAGGCCACAAAGCCTGACAGGTTTTGAGGTGAAAGGTGCAGGGGTTTGGGGGGAACTGCACCTCAAGCTGCTGACAGGCAAAACTTGTGACATGGGTGACCCTGTGTGTGTTAAGGTGCAATGGGGTGAAAGCTGCAGGGGTGGTAGCCCCTGGTGAGGCCACAAAGCTTGCCAAGTTTCAAGTTGGAAGGTGCAGGAGCTTGGGGGGAAGCTCTTCAGAATGCCTAATGAAGCCAACACTTTGTTCTGGGCATGCTGCTTTCAACACCAAAATGTCCGAAGCTTCTCCAGATCTGCAACACGGTCTGAAGCCTCACACGGCCCTAATGATTGTTACAGAATCCTAGAAAATTAAAAGGAGATGAAAATGCACTGCATACTAACTGTAAAACATTTCACAATGATTAGATTTTTCTGAGCTGTTCCTCATGGCCCAAATTCTGAGTTTTTATTCATTTCTTTTCTCAGACAGCAAAGCACCTTGCATGCCTAACTTAGAACTGACTAAAACTGCAGGAATTCAACTTTAGTGTCTGTGTTTCTAGTAGGAGTCCTTTGAAATAAATGTGACAATCTAACTGTACTTATGTCTAGGTGAGTTACAAGCACCAAGCTGGATGAATGGGGGAAAAAGATAAAAATTTTGAGCTAAATCCTCAGCTACTTAGCACCAGAGATCAGGACGGTGATGGAGGGACTGGCCAAGGTTGCTTTGTTTTAACTTGATACACCCTTGACATGCCACTGTTATTATTTCAGTATCCCACATGGGCTATTCTAGTGGCCCATTGGGCTGCTCTCATGCTAGGGATTTAGTAAAATAAATATGAGACTATCCTTGCCCTTATAGACTTAAACTTTAAATGGTTCAGGCAAGAAAATGAAGGGCAAGAGATTCCCCAATGGCAAGTCAGTGCTAGAGCCAGGAGTAGAGCTCAGATATCCTGAGCTCCAGTTCACAGAATCTTATGACCTCCCTGGGCTGGAGGGCACAGGTGGTGATGGAGGAGTTGGCAGATCTATCTTCAGCTAGCTGACAATTCACCCAGTCACCCATTTTTGACTACTTATTACCTTAGAACTGTGCTACACGTTCACATTAAAGCTGGATAGAAACCAAATATAGAGTTGTTACACATTGTGAAGCACTAACTTTATAGCTGGATAGTCACTTTTGTGTTGTGATAATTACTTTGCACTTGTGGCTTATTTAAATTCCTTGTGCAATTAACCAGTTAATTGTGTAATATATAACTTGTCAAGAACAGGTTTGTGGTTCACAGTCTCTGCACATTGCCAACTTTCTGCTCAATCTGAGTGGATACAGTTTGTGCTGGAGTTCATTGCTCCAGGGCTCAGCATTTACATGTACTCCCAGGCCTGCAGCATGGTGAGCTGGGGCAGCACAACTCTAGCTGACAGGAGACCTGGGGGGGTTAGTCTGCCAACCCAGAGTTTTTCCGACCCAACTCAGTACGCTGCAGAAGGGCTGGTTGGGGCATGAGGGTGCTACAATATGGAGCTAGCCAGCAGGCAGCCCCCATGTTGTAGCACACTAGGGCCCTAGCCAGCCCCGGTCACTGTCTACACATGCATTTTGGCAGAATAAGTAACTTGTGTTGGGCAGTACTATCCTATTGTGGCGTTAATTAGCTTACTACAGTCTAATAGTGTTGCACATGTAGAAGTTGACACTTTATTGCGGAGCTAATTAGTCAACTGCACAGTAAAGCATCTCATGTAGATGCCGACAGTGTGGCATAGAGTGAAAAAAGTACTACTCCCACTCCTCACCTCTGTGAATCACCTTCCATCAATTTCAACTGTTGGATGGGCCTAGAGGGTGACTAAAAGGAAAGGAGAAAAAGCAGTTAAAAATGAAATAAACTCAGAACTCACATATTTGGTAGACCCACACTAGTTCTGACAGACTCTATGGTCTGTAAAGTCCTCCAATATTGCTACTGTCATGAGTACAACCAGGCTGTGTAATCTATTGAGCCCATGAGTGATACGGTGGTACTTAGGAGAATGATGTCGACTATTTCAGAAATGGTGGTAGTAGGCTTCGGCGGTAGCTGCATCTATTGTTTGCTTTCTAGATTGCCTTATTTTGCTTAATGAAAAAGAAAATCCTGCAAAGGATTATTTTTACCAAATCATTCCCAAACTGGAACTTTGAAAAAGAACTTGGCACTGCCTATGCACTGTGCTGTGCGGTCCAGGGAAAGCAGAGGTTTAGCTTGTCTTAAAACTTATGCTCTTTCCCCTTATTGCAAACAGCCAGTGAAATTCCATCACTAGGTTGATTAGACAATTACTTCAAAGTCAACACTGAAAAAATACTTGCCTGTAGCCAAGCCCAGAAAAGTGGAAATAAACATTGCCCTGTTTGACAAGTGCAGGGTTTTGTTATTGTCAATTATAGTTGACCACAAGTTTAAAATTACTGTTTCCAGTAAACATAAAGAGTATTTTCTTTCATTTTATTGATTGGAAATCCAATTTAAATAGGGAGAGCCTGCTACTGTGGCTTTGCTTGACATGCTTCTTAAAACCACAGTATCTTATGGAGATTTGGAGGAAGTGAATGGTTACTGAAGTATTTCCAGTTTGATCATAAATGGTTTCAATTAGTGATCATGAGGCAAATTTGAAATGAAGCATCTAAGTTAGGTTAGGAAATACTATATCCTATTCTTCACAAAATATTTAAATTTAAGGGTTTTTTTGTATAAAACATCCATTTAACCCTATTAGTACATCTAATTCAAACAGTACATTTCTTTCAATCTTTAACCTAAAGTGTATTTGCTTTGCAATATGACAGGTTGATCTTGGGTAACACTTGGATTTCAGGCTGAGCTGTTATATGTAATATTGGCATTATGAGCTGAATATTATAATCGCATATAACACTGTAAGATTTTTGAGATCAAGAATTACTGGTGCTAAAGGTGGCTTAATTTTGAACTGTGCTTGTACATTTTGCAGTCTACATGAATTGAAGACTGATACCAAACATTCCTTTTCTGCTCATTTTATGTGGCCAGCAGCATTGAGTAGGGCATGTATTTCTCTAATGGTTTTTGATAGATGGAAAACATGGTTGACCATTTTCAGTTTAAAAAAATGGTTAGGAAAGAAGCCCTATTTTCTCCGTGAAAGTCTAAGATGTTTGTATACCACATTTTCACTGAAATGAAAAGTTTTGTAATAAAAACCATTGCTTTTTAAAAAAAATGTTTGAATAATTTGATCAGCTGAAGACATTGGATCAATAATTTATGGAAATCATAATGAAAATTTTAGGATTCTCTGGAAAAATTCTTATAAAAGAGGGTTTGTATACAAGTGTGAGGGCAGATGAGCATTCTTGTACATGTGGGTTTGTATGCATACATTATGCAGTACATCCACAGTGTGTGTGTGTATGTGTGTGTGCGCGTGCACATGTATGTCTTTTTCCCCCCGGCATGCACATGCACAGGTAGATACACTAAATTTTGAGTATTACCACAGTATCTGTGTGTAACGGAGTGTAACTGCCTCTGATCTGACATAAATATTTGAGGTTGAATCATATGTTTCTGTGAGAAAGAAATGAGTAAACTCCCATTAACATTCATTTGAGGAGAGACTGAGTCTATCTGAAGGCCCTGGACAGCTAGATCATTCCCTTTCCCACTTCTCATTATAAATCCAGCACCATTTATTTGGATTTTTCAGTCAACCAGATTATAAATGGTTCCAATTAGTGATCATGAAGCAGACTCCTCTTTAATCCCTAAAGTCTCAAGCATTTCCATGCTCTTCTTCATGCTGTGACTTCTGGCAATCAGTACCCTCATTCAGTATCTATGTCAGTATTAACAAAAACCACCCATGTCTATAACCCACCTGTTTTGTGTTTGTGCAGTGTGCCAGCAAAGTGAATGGTGGTCTCTATAGTACCACCAAAGACTATCCTGACGAAGCTGTCCGTTTTGTGAGAAGCCATCCACTGATGTATCAGCCTGTCCGGCCAGTTCATAAAAGGCCAATATTGGTTAAAACAGATGGGAAGTATAATCTCAAACAAATAGCAGTGGACAGAGTGGAAGCTGAAGACGGACAATATGACGTCTTGTTTATTGGCACAGGTAAATAAGAAAGGTAGCACTGTACCCTTTTTATCCCATTTTCAACAACACTGATATCTGTCCAGGATTAAGCATTGTATTCTTGAGAATCATCAAAGCAACATAGTTTAATAGATAATCATACTTTATACTTGCATAGTACATTTCATCTGTAAAATAATCAAAAGACTTGCAAATGAGAGAAAGCATTATAAATACCCAGTTCATGAATGGTGAAACTAAGACAAAGAGAGGGTGAGAGATTTTGTTACAAAGCAGATCTGTATAAAACATATTAAAAAGTGTTGAGAAAGAAGGATTATACCCTAGAACTCAGATTTTGAGGCTAAGTACAGACAGTCAAAAAGCCCAACGCTGAATCGATTCAGGTTTTGCAGGTTAATCTAAGCTGAGAAGCAAGTGAACAGACATTCACTTTTGATTCAAGAAATGCAGTGGCCCAGGCCAGAAGCTGGGTGGCACTAGAGCATGCCTCCCAGCCTCTGCTCCAAGGCTTTTCCCTGCTCCCTCCTGGAGCAGAAGGGGCATGGCCAGACCCCAGCCCCGGGATATCACACTGGAGAGTGGGAGTTTAAATCTCCTCCCTGGCCCACATGGGACCCTAGCTGCAATCTGCATGGGTGAGTGGGCAGTGCCTGCCAGGCTTCTTTCCCCACTGCTCTGGCAGGAAGGGGCAACCCCTGCCAGGCTGAGGAGGGGGTTGGTGGGGAAAAAGGTAGTGGCACTGAATTCATAAAAGCTTGAATGAGAATAGTCCTTTCTCTGAAGTGACCATGTATTAAACACAGCAATTTGAAACGTCAAGCACACAGCAAAGAACAACCAAAAATCTTCACCTAAGCTAAGATACATCCCAGTAAAACACAGTAAGAGCACACACAGCTTAGTCTGAATTAAAATGGAATGTAAGAAACCAAGAAGACAAAAGAAAGCCTTGCATAAGTTTTATGTAAGGGCAGAGTGTCTCCTTACAGCCAGGCATTCAGAAAGTCCTTCTTGGAGAATCTGCAGATGGTCTCAGAGAGCTTCCTTTCCCGAAGACACCCCCTGCTGCCCCCCCCCCCCCCGGGTCCTGTGCAGGCCAGGAAAGGGGTCCCCTTCCCCAGATCAATGTGCTGGGCCTGGGTCTTGGGGGCAGGGAGCAGTCCTTCTGAGGCTGTTGCCCCCTGTACCCCACTTCCCACTTGAGTGGAAAGGAGGGGGCATAGCCACACCCCAGCCTGGGACCAGCACATTGACCCAGGGTGCAGAAGGGGGTTTAAACCCACTCCCTGGCCCTGGACCCCAACTGGGATTTGCCTGGGGTGGCAGTCCCTCCCAGACTTTCTCCCCAGACCTTCTCCGCTCCAGTGGTGTGTGGGGAGGTAGCCTGGCAGGGGCTGCTGCACCCCTGCCAAGGAGACCATGGCTGCGGTCCTGTGTCAGTGGGAGAGGGGATTTAAATCAGTGGATTTAAATCCCTCCCTTCTGCCTGAGCCTGATGGCCCACACACCCATCCCCTCCACTCCAGTGAAAAAATGTCTTGCAGGGGCTGTCCCCCTTCCACCCCAAGCAGACCCGGCTGCGATTTGCCACCCCCTTGTCAGCCAGCCCTCACTGCTCTGACTAGGGAGCAGATAGCACAGCCTAGCCCAGGACTGCAAAGCATCCTGGGATGCTGGGGAACTGTGATTTAACTTGAACCAGGAAGAGGTCTGAGACAGAAGTTTCATAAACCTGTTTTACCTAAATCGGTTAAGTCTGATGCCACATTCAACCAGGTTTATCTTAAACCAGTTTCAGCCATTTTGGAACTGGTTTATGTGTACTAAGCTTCTGTTCTGTTATAGGTTTAAACCATTTTCTGATCACTTAAACTGGTTTATGTGTAACTTCTGTCCCTAGCCTCAAAAATGGGAGACTCACATTTGGGTGCTAATTAAGTGACCTGTTTTTTCAAAATTGCAGAACACCTAGTGGATCCCATGGATGCCAACTCAGTGTCAAAATTGAGATCTGGACCCAAGAGAAATTAGTGTATTTTCAAAATGTCAGTGCAAGCTGCTGACTTCATTTCTACCTCTTTGGACCCTAGGTTTAGTTGTCTTTGCTAACAGAAGCAGTCTGTTTTCAGATCTGCCTCAGGGTGTTGCCTAAGAGAATTACTGGAAGGAATAGCTGCCCCAAACATGGTCCACCCCCAAAAAATTTCAGAGCTCTGCCAATATTTGCCAGTCTGCCAGGCACCCCAGATGAATTTTGACTTCTTGATGTTCCTTATTTCTCTTTTGTGTGGATTTCTTTATCACCTATAAGGCAAGCCTGAAAAAGACCACTTGAAAATATGTCATGAGTCTGCATAATTCTAAATCTGAGCAGACACAAAGACCATTAATTATCCTTTAAGGCCTCAGTGTATGTAAGAAATTAATAAAATATCAGAAAAGCCTGTCAATACCCTTGATTTTTTGTAATATCTGACTCATCTGGAAATAACCCAAAAAGGCAAAATAACCTCCATATTTTATCATAATCATTTCTATGATTACTTGACACAAGGGCACTAATGGCCATTTTGCTAAAAAAAAGCACTTAGTCTGGGCTATTTCTTGACTAGTGAAATTTAGATGGAAAGCACATTTTGCTGTATAAAGTCAATAAGAGAAATAATGTAGGAGAATCACAAAGCTTATTTTATATTAATGGGATTTTCTCTACCTAAATCTTTTGGTTCCAATATGTGGTACAATGTATCACATCACGGGGTATGTCATTGTAGGTTTCTATGACGGATTTTCTAATGCTGACAATATATTTTATACTATACACTTGCATTTATGGTTAAAACCTATATGAGTGTCTGGCATAGCCAGAAAAGTAAAGAAGCCTATGATCTAACAAAGCTGAAGCCAGTGAGACCACTCATTAGGTAGGTGCATAAGTGTTTTGCGGGACTAGCATTTTTCTGCTGCTTACTCTAAAGTCTGTTCTTGGGTGACAGCACAGGAATCTTGGACTCAGAAACTTTTAGCTGAATTCTGCACTCTTTACTCTGGCAAAACATCCCTTTTCAAAGCTCAGGGGTGCTCTTGCCAAAAGTATAATGGAGGGGCCCAAACTTCCTCTACCTGGACCCAGCATTTGTAGCACAGCATTAATGCATGGAGTTATTGTATATATGGAAGGTTTCCTTAGCATTGCTGGAATAGGTTTGAAGGGCTTGTCAAAGAGGAAGTCTGAACTACACGGATAACATTCCACAACATGCCTGTCAGCAGGATTATAAGGGGGACTTAGTTATGAACATCTGAGCCCCTGACAGTGAATCCTTTTAACTGTTCTCTCAAAAAATGGACCTCTTTGATAACATTTTCTCTTTGAGGAGTGGTGTCTGACCCCCTTTAATGGCTCCTCTTTATGTTCATCTCTTTGATCTCTCTCTGAACATTCTTTTTCCTCGCTGGTTGTCAGGTTAATTTTTCCCCCTGTAAATCAGAGATGAGTGACAATAACAGGAGACAGGAAGCAGAAAGTACCATTGGTGATGACAAACATGCAGCTTTCAGGAAAATAAAGGTTCTCTAATAATCAGAACAAGACCAAACTGAAGTGAGGGAGCCCAGCTGTTGTACCAAAGTGTCAATTTATTAATTAATACTTTGAGGAGATCACTTACCAGTCCTCAGGAATGGTCATAGCCCTCTATGTACTTATCACACTTTTAATTGAAAAGGAGAGGAGTCTAATGCATAGATCAGCTGAAGACCACCTATAGGAGGAAGACTTTTGCATCACAAGTAGTCCATGACCTATGCTTTGGGAACAACTAGTCAAGCCCAGGGGTCAGCAATGTTTTTGGACAGAGTGCCAAAAACACCCACAACCTTGACTTATAAGTTGTCGGAGTGCCAGGGACAGATGGCAGGGGAGTCATGAGTGGCCCAATCCTTGTTGTGGCAGTGCAAACCTGGCCTTTTCCCCACCACTGCACCAAGGTGCAGGTGCCAAGCAAAATGCTTCTATATACCACGCTTTGGCACCTCTGCCAGGGGTTGCCTACTCCTGGTCTGGACTATTAACCATGGAATTGAGAGACACCTTGTTGGAAACCTGTTTATCCTACTCACTTGTTGTATGGTCCAGACCTCTCTAGGTCTTACTTTCCCAGTCAGATACAAGTGTATTTTTATGTTCAAGAAGCCTATCCAATGCAGACAATACAATCAACAATATATAAGCATTATTGCAATTGTTATTTTTTCGTCTATTCAGTATTCACTTCAAAGGAGACATTCTGATCTTTGTCAACCAACAAATAACAATTTTAACTTCTAAGGTGCTTTTTATTTACTTACAGATAATGGGATTGTGTTGAAAGTCATTACAATTTACAACCAGGACACAGAATCAATGGAAGAAGTGATTCTTGAAGAACTTCAAGTATTCAAGGTACAATACTCTATGAAGGAAACATATATACAACTGCCTGGGGTGTACTCAGACTTAAAATGTTTACAACCTAGTAGTATGAATGGAAATGCAATAGCTAAGGGCAATGAAATTCCTTAATGAGACAGTCATTCTTTTTCCACAGGAAATCCATATTTTAAGCAGAGGTTCATTTAAACTGGAATTGAATTCTAAATCTTGAATGCCCCAAAATAAATCAGGACTTTCACTTAATGCTTTAAATGTTAAACCAGAACTTCCAATTTTGCCAACTAACTTCCAATGAAATGTTTAACTGCTTGATTGTGTCCCCCCATATGGGCTGTTAAACATCTAAATAGACATAATTACACTTCAATGTAATTGAAGATACAAAATTGGAGGTTTGCTGGAAACCCAGTGGTTCAGAAACTCATGGCCTGGAAAAGATTTAATATATCTTATCATGAGCCAAATCCTAAGTCCTTACACAGACAAACTTTCTATTGCCTTAGAAAGAATATAATCATCATTTTTAATGTGTAGTAAAGTAGGTGGAATGAAATCCTATTTCATTCCTATAGTAGGACTGCAGGATTTGGCTCCTTAAGTGGGGCCAGTTTTTAGGGTCTTAGGAGCCACCTTCTGCCATTGCCACAAGAAATCTCAACAGAAGACAAAGGGAAAAATTTCACGATCTGTTAATTTTGTCTATAACAAATATGTTATATAGAAACTACAGAGAGGTAGTTCTGAAGTCAGGAGAAGGCCGAATGAATCAGAGATGCATAAGCTTTCCTGAGCAAGAATTCACTGATGAAACACTGTGTCCTAATCTGCACTGCCTTCTGTGACTTATAAAGGCCCATACTAAAGGGCTACAGACAGAAATTGCATGTAAATTGATACAAGTGATTGGAAACCAGTTCAAATTTGTAACACAACAGAAGTTCAGTGCACATAAAACGCTTTCAAAATGGCTAAAACCAGTTTAAGATGCACCTGGATGGATGTAGTATCATGAATAACTGATTTAGGTTAAATCAATTTATTGAACTTCTGTCCCCTATAGATTCAAGTTAACTCACAGTCCCTCAGCATCCCGGGATGCTTTGCACCTCCCTCACAAACATTCATTTCACAGAGTGGGTGGGCTAGCCTTTTCCCAAGCTTTTTTCTCCAGCTGAGCAAGAAGGCATGCTCTAGTGCCTCCCGGCTTCTGGCTTTGGCCACTGCAGGCATGTGGCTACATTTCTAGAATCAAAAGTGAATGTCTGTTCACTTTCTTATCAGTTCAATCTACGCAACTTAGACTAACCTGCAAAGATTGAATCAATTCAGCCTCAGGGCTTTTGACTGTCTGTACTTATCCAAGGAGGACAACAGAAATCAGTGAAAGCATGGACTAGCATTATGGTTGGCATAGGAACAAATGTGTTCCAGCTTGAGTTTGATATTGTTTTATGAATGAAATATCTATTTTTTCACATCACTGTTTAAAAATAATGATCTCAAAAACATCTATTTCATCAGTTTTACTTTGATACAATGACTTGATAAAATAGTGTTGGGGGAGGGAGAAATACTTGAGTACAACTGTATACATAAGTAAATTCTCCAGTAATTCCTCTTTCTGTTAAATTGATCTCTATGATAAACAAGGCAGTTCTTTTGGTCTCCATATAGAGTAAAGGTGATTTTTTTTTTCCAGGTGCCAGTTCCTATTATTTCTATGGAAATTTCTTCAAAGAGGGCAAGTATTTTTATGTCTTTGAACCACCATGATTGCATGACTCAAATGTGACAAAGCTCTAAACTGTGCATAGCTGTACATCACATGAAATGAGAGACGCTTCAGTAACATATGATCATTTTTAATATAAAATTATAATTTTTCTTTCTCTGTTTCTGAAACATTTAGGTTGTTCAGAGCTAGTGTTAAAAGCTGTTTAAATCTTTTGGGTTCACAGTATCATCCATTTCAAGGCAAGGGAAAATCAACCTGATACATGAATTGTTGGCATAATAATTGGAGCGAGGGAATAGTCTGGGGAACATGAAGACTAAAGAAAAACTTTGTTGCTGATAAATATAAGAGGATTGGCCACAGGCACCAGGGAATTACTCTGCAAGATCTTCCTTTGTGCTCTCCACCTACATATTTATTAGCCCCCTGCTAGGGAAGCTTAGGGGATTTTGAGAGTTTTTGAATGTTTGCCTGCTCAACAGAACTCTTTGCTTTTCCTCACTGATCCTTTTGCAGAAGGCACTGAGGTAGGAGCCTCCACACCAGCCTGAGCTGGCTCCTGATCTTCATTTTAACACAGGATGGCTAAATCTTAGTTCAAACCTCTGGTATAAAACAGGTTTTAATTTAAATACAATGGAATGTCAGGGAGCGTGTTTAGGGACAAAAAAGTGTATATTCTGTCTACCAGATGGAGAGACTCCTTTGGACATACATGACTCAGGAAAGGACTTAGTGGTCATGTCTTCAACATGACCTGCCATGACAGAAAGGGTCAGTACAACCCTGGTATGAAAAAGAAACAGTCTTGCCTCCCATGAAGAACTGGTAAGATGGCTACTAGCATGCTGTGTCTAGCTATATGTCTGCCTTTCAAAAAGGATGTGAAAGTCCTGGAGAGTGTCCAAAGAGAAATGATTCATGACTTGGAGGCTTGAGGACTTCAACCTTTCTAGCTTATTCAAGAGAACATTGAGGGGTAGTTTGTCTAATAATACTGGGAGCTTTTCAGTCTTGCAGAAAAAGGTATAACTAGACCCACAGGCTAGAAGTTAAAATTATATAAATTTAACCTCTAAGTGAGATGCATTTTCCTAACACTAGGAGTAATTAAACCCTGGAAAAAACTTTCCAGGAAAGTGAATAGCTTCCCAGTAGCTTGGAGTCTTCAAAATTAGAATAGATATTTTTGTAAAAACAGTTCAGTGCTTCAATTCCAGGGGCTTTACAAGAGTAGGGGTAAAAGGTGTTAACAGCACTGCAGAATATGGCCAGCATCCCCTTTAAATCAGTTCCCAGGGCTAGTGCCTCAGTCACTCTGTCCTGGTTATTATTCAGTTCAGTTTCTTGGAGAAACTACATGACCTGTTTGTATGAGAGGTGACAGCCAGATGCTTCTCCTTTGGAGTCTATTACTCTGTGAGGATATTTACATTGTCTCCATGTCAAGCTTGAGACAGCTACCATGAAACACATCCCAGCCATTCATCCCTGCTTTGCAAGTGCAGAAACAGGACAAGGTAGCTACCTTAGTGCAGCAGTGAGCACACCTGAGCAAGTTAACTGAGAGCAGTGTTGAGGGCACACACTCAGTTCCACACTAAGGCTAGGGACAGACATTCAAAAAGCCGGAGTCTGGATTGATTCAATCTTTGCAGGTTAGTTTAATCTGTGTAGATTGAACCAATTTGCAAGTGAATAAACATTCACGTTTGACCCCAGAAATACAGGCACATACATGCCTACAGTGGCTCAGGCCAGAAGACCAGGGGTGTTAGAGCAAGCCCTCAGCTGGAGGGAAACTAAGCTGAGAGAAGGGGCATGGCCATTCGCAGGCAGGCTTGAGTATGATTGGGAAGGGGTTTAAAACCCCACCCTGTCCTGCAGAGACCCCAGTCAGGGTCTGCCTGGAAGGGAAAGTACCCCCCACCCTCTTCACTGCTCCAGCGGCAGAAGCAGGGGCAGGGGTAGGGACAGACCCCAGTAGCCTGAGGGGAAGCAGAGCTTTAATCAGCAGGGTAGGGTGGCATCAGCACTGATAGGCTCCACTCATGCATCCAGGGTCCCAGCAGTCAGATACCAGTAGCCTGAGGGGAAGGGGCAGGAGGGTTTAATTCCCCAACACCCATTGCAGGCAGCAGTGTGGAGGCACTGACATGGTGCCCTGAGCAGAGTCCCTCTGAGGAGCAACCAGCTGGCTGCAGGGAGGGCATAGGGAGGGAGGAAGTGACCTGGCTGCATAAGAGGTGGGGAAGCTGGGTCTGCATGGGAGGTGGGGGAGCCTGACTCACTACTGCCTCCTCCTGCTACGGCAGTACGGCTCAGGCTGGAGGTCAGTGCCCACCACCTCCCACCTCCAGCCCCACATGGGGGCTATGTGGTGGGCTAGTAGGGGGGTGCTCCTACACTTAGCCTCCCATCTCACTGCGCTCAAACACCTACCAAGTTTCAAGTGCCCGCCTGGGGGTGCCTCACATCTGGCTGACCCCCTTCTTGGAGCACACCCACAAGCCCGGGGGTCATGCTGCCACCACTCATGAGTCTCGGTCTGTTAGTGTCTCTGTGCCTCGTGAGGTACACAGCCTTTATAGACCTGAAGAGGGTACTCGACCCACTGCAAGAACCTGGGGTGCTTCCCTTATTCTGATGCACAAATAGTGGTCTCCCTTAGTCAGCTGGACCCAGGGGGCCCCAAGGCATAATCTAGACCCTCTCCCAATAAGTCTCCCACACTAGATACAGAGGAAAACTTTATTGATTACAGGGAGTAGGTTTGGAATAGGGTACAGGGTAGAGCAATATCAGAGAAAGACCTTAGAGCAAATGGTGGCATGGTAGCCTTTGATCAGGCATCTGAGTTACTGCAGGCTATATATCTATTTAGATTTTAAGTAGCTTACTCACAAGTATCATCCAGAGACTAACAGAGCTTTCCTGGGGAGGCAGGGAGTTCATAGGGTATCCATGTGTTGAGAGAGAGAGCTGCTGAGGTTCAACTACCCTCAGTGTTTTCATCATGGCTGCTGCTCCTCCTCCTGGGCAGTCTTTATCTTATATAAATCTTATGAACTCATTACCTGATCCAATAAAGGCCAGCAGTTGTTGGCTATCACCCAACCAATTTGAAATGCATCACTGGTTGCTGGGTAGACTGACAGGGTCTCTAGCCCCACTCCCAGTCATGATGGCATTGGGCTTAGAACAATAGGGAATTGAAGCCCCTCCACCCAGGTGTGTGAGGCCAGTCATGTAGGCAAAGGGAGCAGGTTCCCCTCTCCCCCAGGAATGTATCCAGCTCAGGTTACAATTCAGGGTTACCTGAAGCAGATGGGGGCAGGGGTGCCTGTCCTCTGCAGTGACCATGGTAACTAAATTGTCAGATAGGTAATAAGCCTAATAGCAGAGTTTGGGGACAGACTGAGATGGTATTTCACAATAGGCTGCAATTTGTAGGCAGACTACAGCTGCAGCACATCTCCCCACCCCCCTGCCTCTCCTGGCAGTGGCAGTGGAACGAACTACCACAGTGGGTGAAAGTGAAACATCTGTCACCTGCCGCCTGCTTGTGGTGACACTGAGCACTTGGGGTGGGCTGCTGTGGGCCAGGGGTATGGGGGCAGCAGTGGAGGGAAGCAATGGACTGCCAGAGCCCAGTCTAACCCGGCTCTGCAGCCCAGGAGTGCAGCCTGGTCTGGCAGCCTGCGGCCCAGACGCAAAGGCAGCAACTGGCCCGTGGCAGCCCCTAAGGCAGGTGCCTCACCTCTACCTGCTGTGAGAGTGGGAGAGGAAGGGTCGAGCTGCCACAGGCCAGCCACTGCATACATCCCTGGGCCCAGCAGAAGGACTGAGCAGGTTCCAGCAGTAGTGAGGCATATTCTCTTACAAATTAGACTGTCTAGCATGTTTCTGCTTGAAATAGGGACTTGACCTTTGACACATTGGTTGTCTTGGCATTGGAGATGTGGCTTTTGCTGAACACATGAATAATTATCCTCATTTGGCCAGGTTAAGTCTTTGAAAATATCTGAGTTCATAGAGACTTGTTAGAATCAAGCTACTCAGTTGCATTGAGGATACCCCAGCTCCTGTCTATATTGTGCATAAACCATTCCCAGAGAGCAAATTAGCATGGTTCTTCCTAGCAATTGCCCTTCCTAGGACCCAGGATCCAAAGATGTGTCAGAATTTAGAGCATGGAGACTGTCTCTCAATGTTCTCTCATAAGTATTTTTTCAGCCAGAAGGAAGAGGAAGCAATCTAATTTAAGGTCTGAGAGGTAGGAACAGGGAAGGGGAGCAGGAGTTGTTGGCTCTTGAGGAAATGGGAACAGATGAAGATCAATACAGAGCTTGTCAAGGGTGGGAGCATGGGAATGAGGGAGGGACAGGTTAGAGGGGGGAGTAGCATAAATGGGGACTGTACAAACAACAGAAGGGGGAGGAGGAGAACGGGGAGGGGATCAAGGTTAGGAGTTGCTGGGACAGCTATAAGGGCAGAGAAGGGGAATTGGGCAGGAGCTGACAGGTATGAATAAAAGGGAATGGGGCAAATGAAGTACGGAGAGAGGCAGAAACTGCAGGAAAATGAGAGGTTAAAGAAAGGCAGGGGCAAATAGAGTAGACTTAGAAGAGGGGACAAGAAAGGCAGGGGAGGGAGCAGTGGCTAAAAATGCAATGGGACAGGTACAAGCTAATGAGGAGAGTTGCAAGAGGGCTTAATAACCATTTGATCCTGTTCCTCAACCACTCCTAGAGTTGAACTCAGGTGTTTAGATTTACAGTTTTCCTCTGCTGTCTCTTAAATAGCAGTGGCATGCTTTCATCCTCATTCAGTGTTGGTCCAAATTCATGAATCAGCTTACTACCAATACTAGTTTCTCCATTTGGTCAAGCAGTATAGTTTGAGCAGTAAAGATCTGCACTGAGGATCTAAAGATGAAAACCCCATTGATATTTCACATTGGGATCCATATTGACAAGCACGATGGAATATTTGGAATTGTTGCTTTTCTATTTGCTGCTCTAAATATTTAGGAAATGCATATTAGGAAGGGAAGGAGGGAGGGGAGCTATTCTAAAAGGAGCCTTAAGGTTGCAAATTTAGCCACTCAAAAGTTAAGTCATGCCACAATTAAACTTGGATGAGCAGCGTTATTTCTGCTCCTTTGTGCAGATACATTACATTGCACTCTTGAATCTCACAATTTTATCCTTTGTTTTTCCCTGTCCTCCTTCACTCCATTCACTGGATGCCCCAGCAGGAGGGGGGCAGGGGAGGGTAGAATTAATGTTGCCTGGGCAACTGTAAATCTGATGCTCTGTGATGTTTTAGTGGTTCTTAGTGGAAGTCCCATTCATTAAGTAGTACCCGGTTCATTTCCACAGCAACAACTCTATGTTGGATCCGAGTCTGGCGTGGTGCAAGTGAAGTTTCATCAGTGTGACATGTACGGCACAGCCTGCGCGGACTGCTGCCTAGCTAGGGATCCATACTGTGCTTGGGATGGGATATCTTGCTCCCGATACTACCCCACAGGAATCCAGGCAAAGAGGTACGAATTCTTTTGTGCAGTTAAATATTCTTTACATAATACCAACGTGAAGAGTTCCCAGTGCAACACAAGTTGCTTCGTTTCTCCCCCTCACATAAATAACAATGATTTATGTTAGCTAATAATTGATTAGCCAAGCCTTAGGGAATGCAGAAGGATTTAAATTAACATGCCAATACGCACTGATGTGCAGGGAATATTTTTCTTATTTACAATAAGTGCACTCATTTCTTAGAAGCTATGTGCCCTGAATATTAAACCAAATTCTGAGTTCCTACTGCCACTGTTTGAAAAAGCCACTTCATTCTCTGTAACATGCAGAGATTTATTTGGATTGTATTAGACAGTGAGCTATGTAATGCAGCAGCCTGTAAAATGGAAGAAGGAAAATATATGAACAATCAAATATCACTGCCAGACTTGTTCAGATACCACCTAGCTCTCCAACAACAAACTGGGAAGATTATTACGCATGTCAGCAATTTGCATTTTATGAGACAGATCTTCCCATGATTTTCTTTTAATTACTACTTTTGCAAATACATATTTATATTTACTAGGGTTGACCACTTCCAGGTTTGAATTAATGTGGACATTGCTTTTCTAGTCCTGTGATGTTTTTGAAAAATAGTGATGTTAATTCATCCAGAAGCAGACTATCATGTCTTTGAATCCACCAGTAGCTGCCTAAGAGGGGGGAAAAAAGGCTCCTGTGTGTCTTCCTTTTCCCTCTCCCATGAAATCTCATCCTTATATTCTCATGCATCACAATATTTGGTAATCTGAAACAAACTCTTTATTAGCTACAGCCAGGCAAAATGAATACTGTAATTGTTGAAAAGGTAATGAGTCAGAGGAGTGTTAGGTAACAAACAGCCTTCTGGATAGATACCTCCTAGAAGACATAATCAGCAAGATAGTAAATAATTACACTATAGAAGGAACCTATCAGCACATTACATTTTTGGAAGATCTAAGTTAAACTAAGTATGAATTTCATGGCCCTGCTACACACAAAGAGAAATTCCTTCTTGCATAACTCATACAAGCAGTCCCAGTAGAGGAAGCAGAGACTACTTTGGTGCCTAAAGTGAGATGAATGTGGCTCAGAATTACAGCCCTGGAAAGTAGTTATGGAAAAGGTAGATCATCTACTATTATCTATTGGGCCAGTGAGAATTATTTCATACAGTATCAGTAGAAATTGGATTATAATTATTTTGCAAATGAGTTATTCATCTAATCATGTAAACTCATATTACATGGTAAGAGGGTACCTACCTGCCCCCAGGACTGCACTTTGAATTCAAGTTGTTATGCAGCCTGTTTATTGCCTAGGAAAAGATAATAGAGCTCACTAGTTCCTCAACTCAGTTATACATTTTTAGCATATTTACTCCTTTAAAAGATGCCAGAGTAACAGCCCTGGGCATTCAGAGTGTACCTCTTTATCTAGGGACTGTGATAACACAGGTCTGTTCTGTTGCTGCGTTCTGCAGGCTCTGTCTTTAGAAAAAAGAAAGTAATCTTTGTTTATATTACTCCTTGCCTTCTGGAGTGATAGGGCATGTGTAGATGAAACAGGGGCCCTAAATTGAAGCGGTGGGTTTTTAAAAAGATCACTTCAATTTAGGGCCCCTTAAATACCTGTGTCATGCACACACCCACTTACCTGCCTCTCTGGCAGCAGGGAGGGGAGGGTGAGCTGCCGGTGGGCAGAGCGGTTCCCAGGCTGCAGGGGAGGCTGGTGTTTCCCTCCACAACAGCAGTGTGCCCCCCAGGTGGCACCCACCCACAGGCGCCCAGCTCAAGTGGTCCCAGGGGGCACTGCAGCTGTGGAGGGAAGTACCGGCCCCCCTGCAGCTCAGGCAGGCAGGCAGGCAGGCAGGCTCCAGGAAAAATTTAAAAAAAAATCAATGCTTTTTTTTTTCTTGGGCATAGCATGTTTTCCTGACCTGCTGCCAAGCTGCCTGCAGGGGTTCCTGCAGAGCCCCTGAGCTGCGCCGACCCTGGAGCTTCACTCTGTGGCTGTAGGGCAGCAAACTAAAACTCCCCAGTCATTTAAGGCACATCACACTGCTGAATTTGCTACAGTGGCTGGAATTACTGCACAATATGCTGCCGACACATGCAAACACCAACACCATTAAAGTGGTGCAAAAGCATTTAACCCACTGTAAAGTGTCATGCACACACGTCCTTCATTTAGTCTACACATGGTCATATATGGTAATGGAGACCTTTGTGATGTCCACTTCTTACGGGACTTGGGATCACAAAACTTATTTTACTCAGTAAACAGCTATCAAATAGGAGTTGATTTGGACCTGGGGGTCAGCCTGCCAGCCCAGGGCTGCTCTGACCAGGCTCAGTGTGCTAAGGAGAGGCTGCCTGCGGTACCAGGGTGCTTTGGTGTGGAGCTAGCCAGCAGGCAGCCCCTGCACTGAAGCACCCTTGAGCCTCAGCTGGCTAGCTCAGTGTCTACCCATGCATTGCTAAGCATAGAAAATTCCACTGTGTAGTTTATTAGTTTCATGCACCTAGAGGTGCATGTGTAGACGCTGAGATATTTACTTTATGGTTAATTGGGCAACTAGACACACTTTGTATGATACAGGTGCAACCTTTCTGTAACCTGAAAATTCTTCTGGTGCCAAAAAGGAAAAAATGAGGCATTCAGATTGTGTGCTATATTCTTCAAGAGGCAGGTGGTTTCATATTTTAGTGAAACGCTTCCATTTTTTCTGTATCAGCAGTTCAATGGATTAAGCTAAATTCAGGCTTTCCCCCGAAGAACCCCTAAACTCTATGGATAAGCTTCTGTACTGCATGCATTCACAATCCACAGTATATGGGGAATAAGAGAACTTTATAATACCTTTTGAGCCTTTCAGTCTTGGGGTGCTGTGAAAGCTGGGGACAAACACAATATAATTTAGATGGCCACTATACACTGACAGCCTCTTCTTCCTCCAGATATCCCCATACCCTACAAAAAGGCCCTTGAGAGACAGTTCCTTATGTTTGTCTTCTGATTTCTGGCTCCTTTTATGCTATTTCTGCCTTTAACCTGGTACAAAGAAGCCACAGTAGAGACAAGGATATTACCCTGTGTGTGCCCACTTTCCCCTAACTTATTCCTCGCTTCACTGCTACTCTTTCTGCTAGATGCATGCACTGTCCACAAGATGTCACTGTGGTACGTTCAGTTCTTCTCTAATCTTTAGCAAAGCAATGCAGACCCTTTGCTGGTTTCAAGTATAAATGTGTCCCTGAAAAACATATTAAATACAAAAATTATTCTGGGCCCAGGAACCTTCCACAGAAACTCCAGTATGGGGAAGCGTGAATTTTGGAATCTGCAATTTGTGAGAGCTGAATTCATAATTCAGTTTCTGACAGTTATCCTCATAGCTCTGTAATGTCCCAGCTAAATGTGTATATAATTGTAAAAGGACAAACCCTTCTTAAACCTGATCTGATTGACACTATGCTTTAGAGGACGGTCAGCAATCCATGCCCCCCCCCCCAGCAACTTCCATCCTGCAAAGAAATTGGATCTGGACCAAGAAGGCCCAACGCAGCCCGGAATAGCACAGAGGATTGGGCAGCACTCAGCTACATTAAGACACCAGTCCCTTCCTGCAGCTTTCTTCAGCTGCATTTGCCTTGCTGGGTAGGAGCTGATATGTGTAGTGAGGGAAGTGCAGGCAGCTTGATCTTTATGGCTAGGGGCAGACATTACACATAAGCCAGTTTAAATGATCAGAAACTGGTTTAAACCTGTAACAGAACATAAGCTCAGTGCATATAACCCTATTTCAAAATGGCTGAAACTGGTTTAAGATTAATGTGTTTGAATGTAGTATCAGACTTAACTGATTTGGGTGAAACCAGTTTATGCAATGCCTGTCCCAGACCCCTTCCTGGTTTAAGTTTACACCAGAGACCCCCAGCATCCCAGATGCCCCTCCCCTCTGCTCCTTACCCATAGCTCCAGCGAGGCACAGCAGGGTCTGCCTTGCTTCCCCCTTGCTTCTAGCCTGAGCCACTGCAGGCATGTGTCTGAATTTCCTCAGCCCAGAGACAATGTCTGTGCAGTTGCAAACTGGTTAAACTAGCCTGCAAAGACAGAATCAATCCAGGCATGGGCAACTGGTGCCTCTTGAGTCTGGCAGGGCATGTGCCTCATGGCCAATCTCACTTGAGTGGGGGGGGGCATGTGCCACCATGGCTGATATCACTGACCAAAAAGTGGCCGCACCACTTCCAGAAGTGGCATGGCTGCTTTTGCTGGTGGCCCCGCGCCCTGGCCTGCCCCCTGTCTGTCGCCTAAACAGGGGGTGACAGGGGCATGACAGGGGGTGCATCAGCGCTCTCACAGGGTGCACGTGCGCACCCTATGTGACGCCACTAAATCCAGGCTCAGGCTTTTTGGATGTCTGTCCCTAGCCTGTCAGGGTAAGGGCAGAGGCTTCCTACCTAGGGCAGGGAGCTAAGTCCCAAGCTCTCACCCAGGGAGGAAAATGTTGCTAATTTCTGCTCTAAAGAAAAAGGCTCTTGGTTAAAATCCCACGCTCATGATTGTGGTAACTGATTAAGCAAAGCATGCATTTCAGGTGAACACTTAAGCCTCTGCTTAATTTAAAGCATTTGGCTAAGAATCATTCAGTTTCTAAAGTAGATTGCAACGCACTTACATTTGAGTTCCTAGCTGAGTGCTTTATAAAAGAATGGCCTGTGTGTTAAATCAATTGCAAACACCTGTGATATATTAAAACAGATGTAAATTACGCTTGTTTTGACATGTCCCTACTTGTCCACATAACCATGTCAACGTAACCGTTTCCTAAATTTAGAGTTTGGCATCTTTAAGGTAATGCCTGATAATCAGGGATCTGAGTTCCATTTGCTGCGAAAAAACACAGATTTTCTCCTTTAGCAGAGAAAAACACAAATTAGGGCTATTAGGCAAATGCCTCATGTAGATGCTCCTACTT